TATACACACACACACACACACACACACACACACACACACACACACACACACACACACACACACACACACAAAACGATTATGTGAACATTAAAAAAATAATATATGAAAGCATTATGCTGCAGAAAGATTATTATATGACAAATCGTATATCTATTATTCTTAAAATTATAATTTTTTAAATAACGTGTAAACGTTATTTTTATTTATTTATTTATTTAACTACGAAAAATTATTATAATACAAGTTTATTTTATTTTATTTTATTTTTGCGTAAGTTTGCTTTCATTCTTATGATAATTTAGATGAAACGAAATTGAAATCTATAATTTTACATTTATCAGGTATTCAGTGAGTGACGGATTACTTCATGTTGGCATTGAACGAGCGAGAAATTTAGCCGCGCTTTTTATACCCGACAACGCGCAAGTGTGAGTACCTACACGATGATTTTTTTCTAATTACTTTTAACCGATATATTTTAAGCAATATTTTACCACGTACTCCAACCATTGCGTCATTTACACTTCAATTTTGATTTCTTCGAAAACATGAGATAAATATTTATATCGTATATTAGTTAATATCGTGATATAACCGTTGTTAAATATCTCAGACTATCCACGAACGGGATTTTATTTTTTAAAATAACTTTACCGATTAAATAACTTCATTGCATAATGTTAGATCAACCTGCTGACGAGTTACGCAAATGCACTCGACTTTTGTCTATTCCCCGTTTGCAATCGGCGATCTTAATGATCCAAGTTGGCCAGTCAATCGATCACTCGGGCCCTTACCGACGTCTTTGAAATTGGAATGTAATTATGAAATCCTTGTCGCGCACTCGTGTCTGGATCATTGACCAGCCGCGTGTCGCGCTCACCTTTGTTACGTAAGAGTCGGCTATTATCAGCGATACCATGTCTCGCAATTAGCTTTACAGCTACTCAGGAATTTATTCTCGCGGCCATTGTGTCCGGCCACCGGCCATAAATTCACGAAACGGCACGACGCTTCGACGGTTGAAGAAGAGAGACAGATTAATGTATATAGTTACACGGGAGCGTTTGATTAATGATCCATCTTTCACGCGGTGAACTCACGTTTTCCAATCTCGCCGATGAATGAAAAGAGAAGGAAGAAGAGAGAGAGAGAGAGAGAGAGAGAGAGAGAGAGAGAGAGCGAGCCTTCTCTCGAATTCTATTTGTTTTCGTCTGAATATTCTTTTACAGAATAATTGATAGCTCACAAGCGAGTCCACGACCTGAAACTATGCGCTGAAATGCCCTTTTATCTGTAGAAATAATATTTTTATCTTGCATTTCAGATACATCAAAGTCGCACTGCTGCCGATGCAATTACCCATCAATCATACGTGTTGCACGAAATCTGTCGTGGACTTGCGAAAACCGACTTTCGGCGAAACGTTCCCGATCGCCGTGCCGCTTAACAAATTGTACACGAAAACGCTGCAAGTGACACTTTGGTGCACCGAGGCTGAGAAATGTTTGGTATGTATACTTTTTTTGAAATTTATTTTATTTATGTTATAAGTTTTCACTCTTCACTCCGAGATAATTTTCACGATGTTCACTTAATAATGTATTATGATTGAGACACACTTGAAGAAGTAATATTTAATTTTTTATTGACAAAAATGAAGAAATTTCATATATTCTTGAAAAGAAACAATTATAATTGTTACTAAATTGAGAGAGAATATAGTGTCATTTGTCATTCTGAACACTTTTTACTGATTTGATTACAGGGTTCTGCACAAGTCTCGTTGGCAGACTTTAGTCCAGAATCTCCTAGCGTGAAATGGTACAATATACTCTCCTTCCGCTTCATGCATCCATCTGATAGTCCCGGTACCAGTACCAACGGCACCTCTATGAATGTCAGATTGACGAAGCACGACAAGCAGGAATCGGATATTTCGGTATACAGGAGCGTACAGAATACGAAAGAAGAGAGTAGTGACGAGAGTACGATAATCAGTTCCCAAACGTCTACCTTGACGAGGAATCAAGATGAGTTGCAGTCAGCCGTAACGTTAAGGTTGGAAGAGTTGAATTGTCTACGTAGTCCAGAAGAAGAGGATGAGGATGATGAAAGTGGGAGCGAGGACAGCGACGAGGAAGGTATCATCGTAGAATTTACGGTGGAGGATAATATTCTAGAAGATGTTTTAGAGCACGAGGTAAGCAATGTTGCTATATAATATAAACGATATTTATTTAATGTTTCGATTGCTTTGAATTTACATTAGATGAATCGTGGACATCAAGCGATTAAAAGTCATTGATTTAATAGGACTTAATATTTTTCTATCACCATTATGATTAGTGTTATTTTTTGATGAGAATTAAACTTGCACTGAATCTTAAATTGTTTATTGTCAAGACTATAGGAATTTTTATTAAGAAAATATTAATTCTAAATTTATAACGATTCTTCATTTATAATATAACAGGAAGACGAAGAATTGAACGAGGAAACGAGGCAAACGCAGGACAAGGAAACAAACACTGAATGCGTGTTTATTCCGGAACAGGGCAAGCAAAGAAAACTTTCTGCGGCTGGTGTTGCACCCGGCGCTATTCATGACGACAAAAACTCTATTGTGATTAAAAGAAGTCAAACATTCTCACCTAGCGCAGCCGTTAGCAGAAATCATTACATCTGTCGGGTAAGTTTTAATCAAATTTTCTTGACTATTACATATTTGATATATTTGTTTTTTCCATACAAAATTTGGTATAGAATAAAAAAAATTCTTAACAAGAATTTAAAATTTCGATAAATCCTCAATAAAGATTGAAGAATTTTTATTACTTGCTTTTCATAAATTTGTTTTTATTTATCTTTATATATCTTTAAATGCGAGTTTTGCATCTCAAAGAATCTGTCTTTTTTCCTGAATTTAATTTTTTTATCTTGTTTTACATAGCTTAATCGCAGCGACAGCGATAGTAGTATGCCGCTTTATCGCAGAGGCGGACCTTTCCAACGGAACTCAGTAGAAAGACGTTCCCTGCGATGGCGTCGACCGTCCTCCGCTCTCAGTTACAAAATCACGAAGAAGTCGTCTCATTTGCTGCCTACAGCCAGAACATCTTTGGACCTCGAATTAGATCTACAGGCGCAGCATGCTAAACTGAATAATCTCCAAGATGAGATTAGTAGGTTACGAGAATTGAAACAACGGCTAGAACAAGCGCGTGAAAGAGGCGATACCGACTTAGCAACTTGGCTGCTAGAAGATCAAAAATTTCAAAATCTCATAGCACAGGCCGAAAGTGGCAAGAACGGCAAGAGCCTTGAGGATAAGAAAGTGGAGAAGATGTTAAAGAAAACTTCAAAAGAGATTTACAAGTTGAGGAAAACGAAAGCTGGGAAGGGAAAACCCGATATGATTTCTTTTAAGTAAGTGATAAGTTTCCTTTTATTGCAAAATTATTTTTTTATCTTTTATTTCAGTTTTTTTGTGATTAAGATTCGAATATCTATAATATCTCATAATACTTAAAATACTGAAGTAATTGAGTGATGTCCGAAATAACTATTAATCCAAGATGTTAATTTTTGGGTGTTAATCAAAAGTTATATCTTCGAATAAATTGAATCGCTATGAAAATCTGTAACTTTTTGATAATTTTGAAGATTATATAAAGATTAATAGGAAAAAATATTATCTTTTATAAAGATCATTTGATAAATTAACATTATCTTTTTCCAGAGAAAAGATGGCTTTCTTTACGCGAGTGAATTTGAACGTTCCTGTTCTGCCATCTGAGGAGCTCGGAAATGAAGGTATATGTTCTTCAACATCACACACGCACAGAAAATACGCATCGGAGCCCGTCACTAGTGCTTTTATAAATTCCACGACAACACGATTGAACAACATTTCTGGTGGAAGTGCATTGCCTGTCACGAAGAATAGCAATGTCACGGATCGAAGTGTCACAAATGTTGCCGTGATTGTCAACGCAGACGAAGTCGTATTGTCCAATGCCGACAGTAAATCTGTGAACGCTAAAGGTCGACCGGCGGCGGAGACCGAAGCGCGAAGTTCAGAGAATGGTGAGAGGGAGGTTTTACCGAAATCTACGGAGAAGAATGGCAATGGAGAGCCGAAGAGGTACGAATATGTTGTTGATCGAGTTCTCGGTGTGGAAGTATGAAGACCGGAAAAAAGTCGCATGTTCCAGTTCTATCACCAGCTATCGCGCGATAGAGCTGCAATTTCGCGTTCATAGATATGTTTCTCTTCGAATTTGAAGTAGTAGCAGGACAGGAAAAGACGAAAGAGAAAGAGAAATAGTGATCGCAAAGCCGTAATCTCCTAACTCTGAATCCTAGGTGCCATGCCCAGATTGTAAAACACGTGCATCAAAAAATTCGAAAGGATAAGATGCATAAAGTATTATCGTCGAAATTGCAAAACTGCTGTCGCCGACGATGTAATCAATGACCAGTGATAACGGTGCATGTGCCAATGCTGGATGTCAGAAGCAACCCTTCAATGAACGCAGCAGCGAGAATTACACGCGAACGCGAGCATGATTGTGTATATATACAGAAACGTAAATTATTTAAACGCTACTATTTACGATAGGCTATTTAATTGTTTAATCTGACTCGTCCGAGTCTACGTCGTGGAATCGCGACTGCGACACCCTCGCATGTCGTTTGTTCCCTCTGTGCATCGGAGCACATGACCCACCGAGCAGCTGGTCTGCGACTTGAAAGTCTAACGAAAAAAGGCTGCGCCCAGGTTGGCTAGCGAATTTTGCTCCGACTCCGGTATCGTTTTGTTTCAACGCGTTTGGTTTCCTAGTTCTGATTTTCCGGATTACGAATAAATCCAGTGAAAATAAATATTCAAGTGTCCTTCGTGCGTATCAATTCTGACGAAACTTTCAAATCTAATAAAGCCAAATTCTTCGTTATGCTCAGATTTTGCATCTTTTTTTTAAATTAGAATTTCAAAACAAAATACTCGCACAAGTTTTACTCGTTAATTTTCCATAGCAAATTAATCAGCTGCAACTTTATTTTTATTTTTTTAGTCTTAGCTATGGAATTTTCCAAATTACCATCAATAATTCTCTCTTCGCTCTTTTTGGCAAAGTTGTAAAAACAGACTGCCTTTTCCCAATCGTTCTCGGACGAATGTAGGCCTTCATCATCCAGGATTTCAGATTGTGGTACTTTTGAGGCCATAAGTGCCAGGAAATTGGAAGGACGGAGTGATCAGCAAGAGATTGTGATGTCATTTTCGGCGATTTGTATGTATAAAATGATATCATGATCTTTGTCTCGAACTGTGCAAACACTCCTCTACCAGCAGATTGTGCAACAATGTGCCTTATTGTTGAATTAGTCGCGCGAGAAAAGTGCCGCTAGTATATACAGGGTATCCGATACAAGGGTATCGTGATACAATTGACGAGGAGATGGTTCTTCTCTCTTTTGCAATAAACAAGTGAAAGATAATTTTTCCTTAGATTGCATAGTTTTTTTTATGTAATATATATATTTGCCATATTGATACTGGCGTAGTAAGATGGTTAAACTACAGTTATTTTGTAACAAACCTCGGTAGTTGTATCACGATTTACCAGACAATATGAACTCATGTCATGTTGCTCATGTTATCACATTGTGAATACACATGAGCATTTAGACAGAAGCGTGACAACAAAAAATACTCATTTCCGCAAATAAATAATTTGATGATTCAAATTAATAACTGCTTTTTAAGATTCAAAGTAAATATCTACATATCTGATTCAAAGGTAAATATCTACGCTTTCAATATTAATAAGATTGTATAGGAAATAATATTTTTGAAGATTAGTCACAGACCTTTATATTGCATTTGTCTAGATGAATTTATAACGTCAATTGTTTTTATTTGGAAATGAAAGAAAAGTTTATCGTAATGATTTCAGAATGTGAAAGTTGCGTTACTTCAAACAAAACGTTCATCGATTGCGATGATAAAAATATATATAATATATAATAAAAACATCCATAATAAACTTAAATATAAAAATATTGCGGAAAAGAGAAATTTCTGGACGTCGCTTTTAATACTAGAACGACTATCTTTGCGATTGTTCTAAATGATAAAAATTTTGATAATTAATTAAAGGTCGATAAAATTTTTAATACAGTGTAGATAAAGGAAACCTTTACGATGTTATCTTATATACAAATTTTTTAACTTAAAATTTTTAATTAAAAAGTTAAGGAAATTTTTGTCTTGTTTGCATTCAAAACAAGCTTGACTATTTTAATATTAATACGGAAAATAGAAAGATCTTGATTGTTAATTCAGATTGTTGATAAATATCTCTTGAAAAATATCTCCAAGATAACGGATGCCATATTATGTGTATCAAGAAACGCACGATGTAGATGTTGGCCGTTAGAAAGGAGGGTGATAACGAAAGAATAAAGCGAAAATATCT